ATCCTGGCATCTTGCAACAGCGTAGAAATCCTGGAAAACAAATGGTGTGACTCAAGTTTCAGATAGTTCTTAGCTAGCACCTTGAATGCTTCATTTCCAGAGTATGACAGCTCTATATGTTTAACCATCCTTCCTTTCCGAATCACCAGCTGGATCGAGTTTTTTTGACATGATTGTTGTGAAAACAATGATTCTTTCTCCCCCACAAGATGACCATAGCCCGTCGATGAAGTTCAGTAGCCCTGAAAGAGTAACCTGATTGGTTCTGTTCTCTCTTTCATCTTTGGGAGGCCTCTGCTTTGGATCCTTGGTTTCTTCTTGTACTTGTTCTTTCTCTGTTTTCTTCCTCCTCTGTCCGGTGAGATCAAGGGAACAGTCGATATCCTCGATCACAATAACAGATTTGCTAGATGTTTTTCTATCAAGAGCTTCCTCAATTTAGTGTTGTCCCTCACAGCAGTCAGTTTAAGATCATAGATGTCCTAGCTTAGAAGATTGGCCATAGCGGTGATCATTGTGGATTTCCCTGTCCCTGCAGGTCCATAAAGGAGATTACCTCTTTTCCATGCTCTTCCTATTCTTGCATAGAACTCTTCAGCCTTACTGAATGTAATCAAGTCCTCCACAATTTCACTCTTCTTCCCCTGCTCCATAGACAGAGTATCAAACGTTGCTGGATGCTCAAACACCACATGGCTCCACCTGGATCCGTTGTTTGTGTACAGGTTCCTCTGTCTGTTCCTCACCCTGATAGCCTTACTCTCTTTCACCACATGTTTCAGGTAAGCTCTGATGATGAGATCCCGGTGACGTTTGTGGAAAGTGAGCTTGTAATGCGGCTTCTCATCTGTAACAGGGTAGTAAGAAAATGACTGTGTCTTGGAAATATGCTTACCGGAACCCTACCAGAGTTTGATTCCTTGAAATTCGTTCGCAGCTTCTTCGTGATCATCCATGCTAAGCACAAGAGACTGGCTGTTCCGCCCAATATCAGCCTTGAGCCGCTTTGCTTGCATGGAGGAAGTGGAGGTGAGGTAGTTTTCAATGACAGTGTAGGTTTCACTACGCATCAGACGCTCCCCAATGAACTCATTGAAGGTAATCTGAACATAAGGGCACACAAAAGTCATCAATCTCTGAGAGTATTTCTCAATGTAGTTTCGAAGCTGATACGGGAAGGATTGCTGGAAAAATCCCCAGACAAACATCAAACTGGCAATTATGGATCCTAGATGAGCAAATATGTCTCTTGGTGTCATGATTGATGCTTTGATTTTGCAGAGAAATGGAGGAAGATGTGGTGGTTTTATTAAGGTAGATATGGTTATTTTCTCCCCTATACGAACACCTTAAATTGTCTGGCCTAAAAATTTGACTGGTAACTTGGGCATTTTGTTATCAAGTCGGCAAAAGACAAGCAACTGTGAAGTGTTTGTTCTGTAATAACTTGATCAAGGGATTCTTCTGTGCTAAGGGTTTGA